ACTTACGCCGCTGACCCATATGGCCCCAAATTTTTATTTAAAGATTTATACAATTTTACCTTTGCTGTAAGAAACACTGGTAAAAGTTTATTATCTGTTTTATTATTATTTTGTATTTTAGGTAAGGGTCTACTACTAGATTGGATTTGTAGTGAGCCATCTGTTTATAGCCTCCCAAGCACTGGGATCACAGGCACGCGCCACCACGCCCAATATCAACTGCCTTCTCAGCGTGCCCTGGGTGAGGGGGTTGGCACAGCAGGCCCGGTGATCGAACCCCCTGCCCCTGCACCTGCTTGCAGGTGCTTTCATCCACCGAGCTATTTGGCCGGCTCTTTTACCTGTTAATTAAGAATTTAGTTTTGTCTAAGTTTTCACATGTCATCCAGGCCTTCTGATGTGTTTATTAGCTTCTTTATATAGTGCTTCCTAGTTGGAGAGATAGCGTAGCAGTTTACACCTTAAGCTCTACAGCGAGAGGTCATAGGTTTGAGTCCCGGGTCTGCCTTTAGTGATTTATGTATTGTGCTCGCTTCAGCAGCACATATACTATATCGTGCTTCCTCTGATAGCATTCAACTTGTCAGATGTTCTAATTGGATGCCATGATAATTAATGCTCACAGCCACAGTTTCAGTGGGGAGGGGGGGTACAAGTTCAGTAATGTGATAGCTAGCTTGATAAATCTTCCTAATGTATGAGAACCGAAATAGTCCAAGATGGAACAGTGATGAGTCTTAAATGATGGCTTCTCATTCCTTCTGTTTCTGTGGCCCTATGAATCTCATGATGTAAACTTTACCCGCACTGCTTGACTCAAACTCTGTGCTTAGTACTGTTAATCTAAACAGGATTAAATGTAGGAGCAAGTCCAGTGGAACCCAGTGGAACTGCAGGCTAATTTGGCCAATATTTAAAAAATAGGCATCACATGGGAGAAACCATGTCTCCTCATATAATGTACACCAGAAGCCCCGGAAAGGCCGTGGTGAGTCCTGATCATCAGCGTCAGGGGCTCTAACGGATAGTCATAAAAGATACTTTGTATACCTTTTCACACAGGATGATTATATATGAGAAAAATATTTAGAGAATAGCAGTTAAAATGGGAAAGACCTAATGTGTTCATTTTAATAGAATGCACACAAACTAGATGTAGCTCATATCTTTTGAATTTGCTTTGGAATTTTGAAAAAGATATCAGTGAAACTGGACAAAAATATTCTTCAGAGGCATGTTCATAGGTATGCTTAGGCAAATCAGTCAGGGAAAGTAAGTGCCCTTCAAGGAAAGAAGACTCTCTAGAACCCTCTAGATGTGTATCTGAGTTTTTTTCTGTCTAAAATTAGCAAAAACCTCATTTCTCTTGACTTTCTTCTTATGCCTTACCATTCTTCTCCCCTGTAGCGAAGAAAATGGAATTAAGGGCTTAAAGAAGATTCATTCCTTTCTTATTTATTCACTAATTCATAACCATACTTGCATACTAGCTGGATATTTGTGTCTGTGTAGTTGGGTACATGTGTGTAATTGTGTGTGTGTGTGTGTGTGTGTGTGTGTGTACACACTCATTTCTCATTTCCAAAGACTCTCAGGCAACTAACAGTTGGCATGTCAACAAAAGAGAAAATTCTATTAGGGAATTGTAAAACATCATATTCTGGAAAGTGTAAGCTAGAACAGAAAGTCAAACCAAGGTGTAAGCTTCTCATTACTTCTCAAAACAGTAATTTTCACAAAGATGCTTTCTGATGAATGCAGGTAAAAGCAAAGCCTTTGGAATTTAGCCTAAGATGATGGAATTCTGGCTTCTCCATCTAGTAGCCATCTGAAATCCTGCAAGTCACCAACCTACATTAACTTCAGTTTTCTTCAATGTAACACAGAGATAGTGACATTGAACTTCAATGAGTTATTAGGAGGATTAAATGAGCTGTTTGTTTTTCCCCAAAAGTTTCACTCAGTGTCGGGTACATAAGAGGCACTGTTTTCAAAACAAATGCAATAAAAACAAAGAACTGCCTAATCACTCAAGGGCTCTGAATTTTATGGAAGAAAGGAAAAAGCTCACGTCTCCCCACTGGTAGAAGAGCTTGGCAGCATTCCACTGCAGCTTCTGGTTGCGCTTGTTGCCCACGGTGGGGGACCGTCCCCGGGACAGGCCCTTCTTGGTGATGCTCACATGGTGGCCTTTCATCCACTCGGGCCAGTTGCCACGGTTGCAGCGGTGGACAAAGCGGGCGCACTCCAGGAACAAGGCTGCTCTGGCCACCACCGGGGCTTCCTGAGGGCAGGTGGGAAGGAAAAAGAATGTGGGACTGGAGCAGGATGGATTTAAATCACCCCTGAAGAGGGTCACTGAGGTACTCGTCAGTTTATTTTAACCTCCAGGCTTTAATTGAGCTTGGCTATATTTGCCAGTGTTGTGTTGGCACACACGACTGAGAAATCTGGAAAATATGAATTCACCAAGGCAAGTTTGGACGTTGAAGAAAGAGACATTGTAAGCAGGTTTCTATGCTACTTCTGCCGCCTTCTCAAGGGTATCGAGTAACTGCAGGCTTCCATTTCACATATTTAGCTGTGATGTGTGAGAGCAAAAGAACTTTTGTTACTAAATAGGAAGATACCTGAGGATGAATTTTGACATGAAGTGAGCAAATACCCATTTGTAGAAGAGTATTATTTTAACCAGGGTGTGATGTTGTGCCAAAATTGTCTGTTATTATGAAACCACAGGGTTTAGGGGGTAAAACTGCTGCTTGTTTATTTTGGCCAGTAGGCAAACAAAGATTTTGTTGAGTTAATCTTCCTTTTTCTTTTGTCATGAGTAACAGACAAAATCTGCTTAAGCAACATGGTTTCAATTGAAAATGTTTCACAAAGAGGAAATCATTTAATTGATAAATGAGAAACAGGACAGCTCTTTGAGGTCATGCGAATGTGGTTTCATCTTGCCATACCAAAACATGGTTGAAAAAATTAAAGAAGTAACTTTTGGCTGATGACCACAAAATGGGCACACATGAGATACTCTAATGAACGCTTTAAAATCTAAATAAATAAAAGTTGAAGGAAGAAATGTCAAGTTTCTCATGGAGGGTTAATGAGCCATAAGACTAATATACATAAATATGAACATACAGCGTGACCTATGTCCACTTTAAGAAATAAATCACAGTACTGATCGCCTCAAGGTTACGTGGTAACTACAGATTGCTAAAAATAACAGAAATTCAAATTGAAATAATTTTCACCATTTCAAGCAATAGTATTCTCAACAATGCCTTGATCTATGATGTCAAAATAGGAATGAATGAATAGAGAAAATTATGTGGCAATTAAGATTTATAAATTATATCACAGTCTTGTGATATAAAAATAATATCCTCACTTTAAGATTTTTAAAAAGGAGGTCCATTTCCTCCACTGTCACCGAGGTGGCAATAGGTACATATAGGACCCAACATTTACAATCCATCTATTGCAGCTTCCATCTACCTCAATCACAGAACAGCTAAAGGAATTTGACATCAGTATTTGATTCACCACTCTTTCTGGTTTTATCAAAAGTGTGCTATATTTCAATTATATCAAACTAGCTGTAGTTTCCCAAATAGGACATCTCATACTTTTCCATGTTTTTTTTTAAGAACCTTTAAATTCCCTTTTCCTCTATAAAATTCCCACTTTTAAGATTCAGTTGGTCATCTCCTCTGATAATCTTTCCTTCCACCGTGCTCACCCCTCACCCTGGCAGAGCTAGCTCCTTCATATTTTCTAGTACCACAGTACCTCAAATACTGGATGATTCCAGAAAATTAGCTCTTTGAGCATTTCTTCATGATCTGTGCCTTTGATCCCACCACCATGAATTCCAGTAAGAAATATATTTATGTAAATATTTACTTTTACAAAGCATAGTACACTGTCACAAGACACACACACGCGCAAATGAATCTATGTGAAAACACAGACTACAAGGTGGGCACCAACTGAGACACTGCACCATGAACACAAGACAGAAACACCTGACAGGAAACTATCATCAGTTGTGGGGGGCAAGTCTCAGAAATATGATGACATTCTTCACAAGAGGCATCAATGTTGTAATGTCATTCTATATTGTCTAAGTACCTGCATTCTTTCTTATTATTTGTTTTACCAGACATGTAAGATATGCTTATCTGTGTCTGGAAAAGACAGAAACATCTGTCATTACAAACTAATGTCAGTCTGGAATGCAAGGAGAGTGACACAAATTTATTTTTAGCCTGTCATGTTGTGGTGTATTTTCAATATAAAGCAATGTGAACTCAGTGATTTATGACAGGAGGACAGAAATAACCCTGGAATAGCATTTTGTCATGAAGTTTGGCTCCTTGAGGATTAATCAGGTGAAACCTAACCCAGGCCTGATTTGTGAGGTACGAGATCTTTTCACGACCCTTAGTATCACACGGCAATTGAGGGGGTGAGTGACAAATTAACAGTCAAACTGCAGTATTGTGAGGTTGCTCAGGAAGCTGGGGCATTTTTGAATCAAAGGTGATTTTATTTTTATTTTTTTAATATTTTTTGGCCATAGTTTTATTGATAAACAAATAGCAATGAGACAGTTTCAAATCAAATCGCTAGGACAGTTTCAATAATTAACACATTGCACACATTTTTCCAAAGGTGATTTTAATTCACTGTTCTCCTCAAGCACCTCTCATGGCACGTGTCAGATGCTACTAGTGTGCAGGTTTGGGCCCTGAATATTGTAATCTAAGTTTGGAGGAACTGAGATCCATATTAAAAGAATTCCCATTATACAGAACAGCATGGAAAGGAGGGTTGGTTATTTTCTGAAGAATTTGATCCATACACAGAGCTAAACCTAACATCACTTGGAAATGCAACTGCATGAAGGCATGATAACAGGGTCTCTCAAACACTATCTTTTTATAGTAATTTTCATGATCTCAGTGGACAGTAAGCAGGCAAGGGAATCCTATATTCAATATGGTAGTGCACTATGCCAATTTCTGGTGCACTGCACTTTGTATTTTACTGTCGAGATGCAGCGCTAAAGATGCCACTGTATGTTCTAGTGGAAGGCAGCAACAAGAACTGGCTTCCCAGTACTCAGGCTGTAGCACTCAAGGCCTTGTAATATAAATGTGACTAGGGCTGGATTTTATTATGAGTTCCTTTCAAAGTGTAATTTGGAAAGAATCAGCTTTAGGAGCAGATTATGGCGAACCTTGAACAGAGAATGCTTCCTGGATAAAAAGGGAAGCCATTTTTCCCTGGTCTTATGGAGCTTACCTCTTCCGGTTCAATCTGAAGAAGCAGCGAAAGATGGAGGCATGGCATAATGGACAGGGATGGATTCACATCACAGAGACACACAGCACAGATGGAGAGAAATGAAGCAGAGGAAAGCTGCATGACTGAAAAGAACCACAGAACGTCAGAGGTATAGTTAGAAATGAACACTGAGGACTTGACACTATGAGCATACCACAAAAATGCCGCCGGTAGTTCTGGGAAAAACTATAGGAATATTAAAAATCTCTTCTTTCTGTTAACCTGCCCACCTAGACACTGTAATGACACAAAATTGTTCCTAATCTTAATTGTGTAGCTCACAGAGGAGCAAGAATATATTTTAACAGAGAGGGCAAATTTGAAGTTCAAGTATATGGAATTTTAAAATGTGGAGGTCAAAAATAGTCAAGTATCAGCAAGTTTGGGTAGTTCACTTGCTCTTATATAAGGTGTCTGCTGCAGTGGTGGCAGAATTATCTAGCTGCACTTACAGGAAGTCATGAGAATGGCATTCTACAGTCTGGATTTCTCTAACATTCTGCAACTGGAAAGTTTCAATCACCCAACTACTTTATTTCACTCCCTGTGCCATCTTCCCCTGAATTTTATAGGATTATTACAGATACTGAAGGTTTCCTTTATGAAAGTGAAATTGTGAACTGGGATACTAATCCAAACAGCTGTGCTTTGTTTTGTCTGGAGACCTAGAAAATACTGTTACTAAGATATGATGCTTAATTGAAGGTTATGATTGCAGGGCATTCTTTTTCCTAAGGGCCTATATCTAAGCTTATGATGTGAGAAGAAGCCTCAACTGACTCTGAAAACTCATATAACACTGGACACGAACTAAGTGTTCTAAAAGACTAACTATTCTATGTAGATCCCTGAGGAATTCCATAATTTTTTATTGTGTTACAGTGAAATATTGTAAGCACTTGCTGATGCAAGATGTATTTGTTGAAAGCCAGTGGGAACAAACAGTTATTGTAGGTCTTATTTTGTACAGAAACCACCTTCGCTAGAGGGCATATGCTTGTGAGTCAGCATTCATTACTTAGCTTGTTCTAAATTCTTTGCCTGACAAAGATCCTTGAGTACCAGACTCCTAAGCTGACAGACTGCCCCTGCCCATGCCTATTCCTACCGTTGCTGTGGGCAGGCTGGAGGCAGGGGCTAATGGTTAGCATACTGTGAGTCATTTTGCCACTTATCAGATAATGGTAATATTAGGGGTATTTCCAATACCAAACAAGATCTGTTTCTGACAATGCTATGGGTGAAGTGCAAAGACAAACTTTGTTTTGGTCTAGAACACCTAAAAATGCTGGACAAAATATCCAAAAATCCCACCTCTCTCTCTCCCTTCCTCCGTTCTCTCTCTCTCTCTCTCTCTCTCTCTCTCTCTCTCTCTCTCTCTCTCTCTCTTCCTTCCATCTTTCCTTCCCTCCCTCCCTTGCTCCCTCCCTCCTTCCCTCTCTACTTCTGTTTCTAAGATTCAGAAATAAAAGACCACTGAAGAGTAAAAGTTATAAGAAAGTGCGACACTGGCATGAGAGCAGGGAGAGCTAGTGTGTAATATTCTCACTGAGGGTTTCTGTTGATGACAGAGGGAACAGTATGGGGCTTTGGTGTGCCTTTAGAAGCTAAATATCTAGGCCCAAGCAGTTGGGAAACTGGTTCAGACACGCCCATGTGGAGCTGGGGTGGCAGGTGGGAGCTGCGCTCTGTGGATAAGAGGAAAAATCTGCGCCCCACAGAAACTGTCTTTCCTGACTACATTTGGCTCTGCTTGGGGGATAAGAGGGACAGAAGGATAGAAGGAGGGGAGGAAGGAGAAAAAGGATGAGAGGGATGGGCCGAGAGAGACAGAAAAACACAGAGACAGATGACAGAGATAGAGACCTAGTTTTACAAGAACTCTTAATGTTTTCTTTTCCTATATATAAGTTTGGGGCAAGAGTGACT